TCAAAGATTTCGCTTGACAATTTTTAAAGCTACCTTAACGGCGACGTATTAATTTCTCTAGAATAGTACAGCACTCAAATTTGTAGTCTGCTAATAATCATTGCTCTTTGTCCATTTTATTCAACTGAGACAAAAGATATGGAAACTTGTCATCTGCTTTGTAGCACAAAAATGCTTATCCTAACGTGAATGTGCATTGTACTACACATAATTTGAATGTTGTGCGTTTTTTAGTATTTGCAACTTTTTTTATTGGAGCATACTTTCAACATAACATATGCAGATACCTAGTAATTACTATTAATAAAAGGACATTGGTTTACATAATATGTTTGAGGAATTTACCCCCACTTCCTTCGGTTCAGCTTGTTTCTCCTGGAAGCAGTATTATATTTTATCTCTTGAAAGCATTAAACATACCTTTTAAAAGCATTGAAGTTTCGTTTTCTATACCTATACGTTTTGCCACCAAGATAAGTAGTTACCCAACAAAATTTGCTTAGGATAGGAAAATCTATGTAGATTTTATTTATTTCCCCATAGCATAAATCTGAATATTACGACCATGACGTAATGCACGACATATATCTAATACATCAGCTACTGGGAATGACCACAAAATGGTGGTATACAAATAAAATATATGTTTATGTTGTGCAAATGCTTCTTAGACAAAATGCATATATTACATTTGTAAATTTAATATCATACTAATCGTCTATTTACTTACGTTATATTTCAGTGATAGAATTTCTGAATGCAAACATATCTTACAATGCATATTACAATGTATATATTAGAGAAATTTTACATATAGTACTCCGCACAAGCAATGGATCATGTATATGTATATGTATATATATATATATATATATATATATATATATATATATATATATATATATATATATATATATGTAAAATTTCATTACATTGTATAATTACAATGGTACAAATGTTCAAGGAAACAAAAAGAATATTTCACAGGCAGCCCACACACAAGATATTCATTACATATAACTTTTATTTTGGGTAATTAAAAGTTTATTAGTGCAAACGTTAGTATGCACTCGTGAACTGTACAACACAGTCAATTGCTACGTTCACACGACAGCATTTTATCGGAGACCTACGGCTCGAGCCAGGAAAAATGGTCGTGTATACGCGTTCGACTCGAGCCAAGTTCGGCTCCAATAAACCCTCGGGGTTGAACTCCGATAGGATTGACATCTCGAGTTGGGATCAACTCATGGACAAAGCATATAACAAGATCGATTCAGCGCCAATTATAATTTCTAATTCAAAGATGTTCCATTGTAGGTAGACATCTAGACTACAAGCAAAACTGGACGGTTCTGTTTCTGTTTATCTGTTTATCCAACGATTATCGAGAGCGACCAGATAATAAACCCACAGTTTTTCCCAAGAACTATATTTGATGTTATTTGATGACTGATAATTTAATGTGCAATATGTTGTGTCTGGGGTATTGGATTATACATATAGTTACATGTACTGACAAACTGTCCACATTATTTATTCAATATTTTCCCTGTATTACATTTTGTGTGTCAAGCTTTATCATTGCCAGAAATGTGAATCAACAGTTATCTTCATACAAATATACAATAATTTTCAGTAATCTTCAGACAAGTCATTGAACTATAACATCTACACAAGTCTACATCGCCTGATTATATATTCACAAAAGTAGATATAGCGTGAATGTCTACAATATTCTTCTGTAAATACAAATTCCATCTACTGTATCTACACGTTTGTTAAAGGTTTAGTCAGTTAGTCAGATATCAGAGCCACCCATCACGGTTTGTTTACATTCACATACAAATGCACTTACTAGTTTTGTGCTGTTGCATTTCTGGTAATTGTAGTGAATTGTCAACTTCTCTGTTGTCACGATGCCAGCAATCTGACAAACAATATGAACATACCAGGATATTTTATTATTAGAAAATTGCAGGGCTCACCAGTGTGCCATTGTTCTATGAGTAACGGTTGTACACCACCCTATCGAGACTAGGGGTGTCATTCTTGTCATATGACGTTTCGAAATGGATGGCGAGTAATCAAAAGCAAAAAAGTGTTTTCATCTCTTGTACCTTTCCAAGCTTCTATTACACGACATACAACTACAATTATTAATTGTATTGTATTCTTTTATGCATAAATAGTTTTTTCTATAAAAGGATTTGATATTGCACTTAAGTCGGCCAATCAACTAGTTCGCTTTTGTAACATACACCAACAGTGATGTATTCACAAAGTCAACTCACTTATTATCAATCATTAGTTTACATGTACATAGTATAATGTTTTAAGGCCTGAAGAGAACACGAGGAAGTTTGAACATTGATAGAACCATTGTGATACGTGCAAAATCGTGCACGGCTGTTCGTTCAATTCAATATCATTTTATTTTATATCAAGAAAACTCCAAATGCCCTGTACTAATAACTCTGTTACTGTTTTGATTTTCCGAGATAATAAATGAAACCCGGTGTTTCAGTAGTTCGTGTTTCAGTAGATTAGGGTTGCGTTACGTAGAAAGGTAGAACAGACTTCAATGAGATGAAGTCAAATCAGAGCTCTATTAGGTCCATTTTATTAACACGTCATTGGTGTCAAAACTACTTCCTCCAAAAATATGATAACTTGAAGTATTTGCATTTGTTCTCAAAGTACAATGCAGAACTGTGATTGGTTCAATTCAAAGTGGAAAATTCCACTATCATAACTCCCAGTAATTATTCTTAGTTTACAGGGTTAAAAGTTATAAAAAAAGACGACAAGAGCAACATCTAACTTGTAACCTTAAATCACTAAACAAGACACAATGTAATATAATGTCATACAACACATGTAAACAGTAGAAATATGAACCATGTATGTAAATTAATTTGTAAATGTAAAGGAGTTCTCAGCGATACTAACTACTGAGCTATTGCGCATGCCGATGGGTGTTCCTGGGATATAGATTCGTAAGAAAGGGACAAAAAGTGTTATTTTGATTGTCACGTGGTTGCGTTGAATTATCCATCAGGAAATTACAATGTGTACAACACATCATTTACTCATTTTTGACCAAAACTGCATGTTTATATCTGTAAACTCTCACCCTCCGGTGGTGTTTTTATTACACAATAGAATGATTTTTCGCAAATTGAATAAATATAGTATTTGCTCACACGACCATAACAGTATCACAATGAGATCTCATATTACCTATCGCCGTCTACCAAATTGGTCCTGTATTTATTAACACGGTCAGTATTACCAAGTTTAGTGCGGAAGTTGCAATGTTCTGTTTTACAGATGCGCTGACGTCACATTCCTCTGTTTCTTCAGCAAAGATAATTCTGTTTTCTATACCAGTGTACATAGGTGTCATGGTTGAAATGTAGTCGACAATGACGTCAATTTCATCAGCACCTGTCGAAAAATTTAAAGTTTTAAAATGTATTCGTATCAGCACTGCCATTGTCACGTAGGGTATTTTAATTCAGATAAAAATACCAGTATGGACATGTGACTAATTTTAATAAAAGATATACCATGTATTAAATATATATATATAATGTAATTACAGCAAACTTCAAAATCAGTAAGCAAATTTGTATAACTTATAGAAAACAAAATGAAGATTTGATTTACTTTGGTATCATTTGTAACTACATATGGAAATAAAACATGACACATAAACAATCTACTGAAAGTTGATGCTACAAACAATCTACACTGTATCCCACCTAGTTCTTTATTGATGAAGTTATTTGTCAGTTGAGAAAATAATCTGTTCGATTACATGCACGTCCAACCCATTTGGCAATGACGCCTCAGGTGAGCGAATGTTGTATTGGTAAGTATATAATGTTGTTAAAAGACTTTTTTATACATGGAATAAAAGAGACCATTCTAACAAATGATATACCATTCTGATAGAAAGTAACATCACTTCTCGTGTTCTATTTGTTTTCGCGGGGCGTTCCCTGGCCGATTATCCCAACTCAGGCATTGACAAGATGCCCTGTCCACTATCTAGGCAACAAGTCAACTATCGTGTCAATTTTACAGATCGTGAAGGTGTGCGACTTTCGTATATCCATACAAATCAGGTTATGATATTAGAAGCGATGCATCAGGTATCAAAGAAGTGTGGTGATACACCTACATCATCCCTTTTCCATCCATTGTCAATGGGTGATAGAATATCTGGGTTAAGATAACAGTCATACTCGAGTCTGTCATGAAGTACGTAACATGTGTTGCTCAAAAATTGCCCTGTCTAGTGTTTGTTTGGTAAGAGACGTATTCTTTAGTTTTGCTTGCTTGGCTCTCAGTATAATATGATTCGTGAATTTCCCTTTTTCACCATACAGGTCACAGTTTTTCAGCATCATTTTTCAACATCTTGCCAATACCATACAGTGAAGATACAGAGTCACACCCTATGATTGCATGCAATGCTGGGAGTATTGTACTGAACACATCACCAAGCGACTGACATACATCATGAAAAAGATTGTACCGCCTTCTGTTGACAGTTGCTGGTGTACGAAATGAAAGAAATGAAAGAAATATGCCAATATGAAAAAAAATCTGTATCTAGAGAACAAACAAACAATCAGTCCATGTTATGCCATCCTCTCTGAAATCATCGTCTGTTTCTGTGCATTTCGTGTGTAAAAAAAAAAACATCAGTTGCATCCATGGTAACATGTGAGGCGACATCAACATCACCTACATTCCTGGCAGCTGTAAAACACGACAGTAGATTTGTAAGGTAAGCACTTATGTAAGGTCTTCAAACGTGCTGTGGTTAATTTCTATTCAATGTTTGAATAGCTGCCATGGAATCTTGCATAATTACACTCGTCTTGTTCCTTAAGCCTTGTTTGTTGTCTGCATATTTCCATCTTCAATAAATAGTGATGTGGGAATGGGTGTGATAACATAACAAATTCCATCTCCTCCTGCTTGTGCAATTGACAGTGCCCTGCGACAAACCAACTCTGGTTTTAGATTAGGTTATATTGTATATCCACTACGCTGAAATGTTGATTATCGCATTTGTAAATGTTAACGAACCCGATTTACCGGCGCATGGAAACTTTTACTACATCTTTGTAACAGGTAGACAGGACAATGGCTATTGTAATGCTTGTGACTAGTATCCAAAGTGTAATGTATTCCCATGTTTTTATGCAAATAGGAGTACACCTGGGTTTTTCTGCACATGCTCATTACACAAGGAACATTCAGCTCATGCTCAGCACAGAACAATAGAACACTGGTCTTGACTGTCTACTGAGTACAGTATTATTACATGGTCTGACAATCCATTGCAATCCGACACATAGTATAAATCATGTTGTGTAGAACATTTTGGGATGACAGGCATTTTTTCTAGGAAAACGACTGTCCTGCTACCTCAAATAACTTTCTCTGAGAATCTTATGGTTTTGTTTAACAAAATAATGTTCTTGTTCAGATAAAATTTTTGGTCGCTAAATATCCATGAGATTTGTGATTTTGAGCCATTTATCATTGGTTCTCCTCATGAAAGAAAAAGTTAAAACACTTGTGCAGTTAGTTTGTGTTTTGGGCATTAATTCATTGTGTAGATTTCATTGAATTTAAAAACTTTCCAGTTTGATAAATATGGCTGGAAGAATGCGATTTAACCGTTCTTTACTATTATGGCTATCGAAATTAAATATGGAAAGACAACATTTACCAACCATGGTAATTGTAGTTGCCAAGAATTTTGAGAACATTCCGATGATAACCGAGCAATGTGGCACATGATTATGTTATGAAATAACACCTTAAAGCGAGGGAGTCGTCACCTGCGCATGCGTCAGATGGCCATAGCGTGTCATTGCTTATAAACAAGCGTCTACCCATGAGCCTTTGCGTTTTAACGTGTGTTGTTATCATCGCTTGGGACTCAGTTTCCGTGATTGCGCAGATGACGACCCTGCTGCTTTGATTGTTCTCCAAACAAATATTTGTACTAGAAAAAATGAAGGTTGGCGACATGTATCAAAATCAATAATTATGTGTCATTTAAATATATATATATATGACACATTTTCCGCCCGTATTTATTAGATCAAAATCCGTGATATACCTTAAACATAATAAATATTAGAACCGAAAAAAAACCTTTAGTGAACAACAATTTAACATGGCGAACCAGCACGCTAGTCTACTCACCTGTAATTTGAGATAGCTTATTGTCGTTTATCATATCATATCCGCCGCCACCCGATGCAAGGTAGTCATTACATATAAGTTTGTATACAAGGTTATCGTCCAAGGGCACTGATTCAGGTATATCACAATATGTGCATACAACGTCTGCTGTTGATACCCGAGAATATGCTGGTTTGGTGAGGTCATAGGTCACTCGTATACCTAATATTAAAAATAGGCCATATTTATATGCTCAACAAATTCTACAAATCTACTCACTTTATTTACTCATATGAGGTTATTACGAGGACACCGCAAAGTATGTACGAAGACAGTATAGCGCTCACTATCGACCAACATGCAGCGGAGGTCGATGCGACGGCGTACTGTCTGAGTGCATACTTTGAGGTATCCTCGTAATAACCTTATTATTATACACCTTTTCCTTCCAAGGATACATCATGGGAATGCCAAATCATTCCATATAGCGTAATCATTCCATATTTGAAATTTGAATTTCCTTATATGGTAGGATGAAAATACCCCATAAAATACCGCAACATTACGGCACGCTGTAATGTATGGTGTTACGGTGACAGATGTATAATAATAATTGATATTATTCGCAAACAAAATGTTTTTATATGAGTAATTACCTCAGAAGCTCACCTGACATTTGCAAAAATCTGTTTTGCTGTGTAACGCCATCGTATTCAGACACAGCATATTCTAGTGCCTCGCGGATGTAAACACCCTGCAGTTCAAGCAAATCCAGCGTGTCGCCGTAGGGTAAAGCATTCATGACGTCACCGACGGTGATATTTCCTGCAACAGAATCGTCAGATTACGAGTATGTAATATTGGGTTGGGTTGATGTCATCGCAGAGTAAAGTGTCCATGGCTGTATTGTAGGATAATGCCCTCATACGACGATTCTTCTAGGATTAAAAGTACGACCCGAAATAAAATGTCGAAACAACTGGAGGTGTTATATTCAGAAGAATCTGTGTACGAGGGTGCTATCTGACTTTCAAACCCACCTAATGCTCAGTTCTCCACCAATCATAATGGCGGATGACTTTTCATACAAAAACAATGTAAAGCATTATATGTATGTACGACTGTTTTAGTGATTGTAAGACGACTAACTACGACGTAGACTAAAAGAAATGGCGGATTGTGTGACGTACTCGAACAAAAATACCACGTGACATTGAAACCCGCCTGTTGGATACGCGGGACTGGTATATTCAGTTTTGTACATCAAAATTTAATGAACATGCTTGGTATACTCAAGTAGTTATAAATCGTGCAAAATCGCAATGAAAGCGGATACAAAATTATGCACTGAATTGGTAACTTGTGAAACATCCAACCTTTATCAATGGAGTCTCCGATACTATCGCTGTTCCATATTACCATGTTCACGTCTCTGTGATCCAATTTCTTGTAATGGTATACAGCACCATCCGTTATTAGGTTGCCAAGGTTACATTCCTCCAGACGACAAGAGCTTGCACGGCCATCTAAGTAAACATAACTTTCGCCTATGATCTCGCATGTCTCGGCGTCGAGACGAGATTTCCATTTCTCAACCTCGGCCTGCGTTTCTTCATCTGGAAGGACAGACAAATTACGAACATAAGAATATGCAACACGCGAGATTTCAACTCGCGACCACGCCAAAGCGCATCGCCACTGTAACAGTAAGCAGACGCGCACATCGACACGCCACACCATTTCAAAACGACGGCTTTTCAAAAGGCGTTTATTAATTTGAATTTCAATGGTCTTATCAGACTGAAAGTACTGATTTTAGTTCTGTACAACTAATGTGACCCACATACGCACACACTTAAGGTGTCCATTTCCATTACTACTTGAAAAGTTACTGTAAATAATTATTGGAACGATTAACTTGACCTATCATTTATTTCCATAGTGACCACCCTTTTGTAATTATGCACTAGAATCATTTTCAAAAGTAGACTAAAATAACTGATATTCTGGAGTGGACCCCTGGCAAAAGCACGCACATACACAGTACAATGACAAGACACAAACACGAACAAGGCTTGTAGAATACTGACAACATTTTATTGAATTACATTTAATTCAATTACATTTGAATTACAGCGCATACCAGATGTACTGGCATAACCAAATGTACATTTAAATAGCATATCAATAGTGTGTACAGATCACTACAATAACATAGTAAGACTGACACAAAACTGCTCTCTATGAGATGATTGGGAATATCGAAGTCGCTAATGAGTACCGATTGGTGGAGCCGTAACGATGGAAACAGCTGCGTCATGATATATCCGAGGTAGGTAACCATATTGATGGGTGTATGCAACTATTTCGCGCCTGTTGTAATTCTACCATCAAATTAAAGATACCAAAGACTACCCAAGCGGTATGTCGCCAGAATCAAATTTCAACAAGTTGAAATATGTTGGTAATAAAAATATGATCAATCATTTTCTGTGTAAATATATATCGGGATTGGTAATTTGCTTATGTAAACACACAGAAAGGATGATGAGACAACCAGCAGTTTATTTTGTCGTGATGTTTTCCCGTAAGCGAGGCATACAACTATATCGAAAAGGTATCCCTAGCTCAATGTTAATATATAACGGTTCTCATAATTCATATTTAGTTGGGGAGCACAAATACGTGCATTCCAATACCAGAGTAATACACTCACCCTGTGCCACATTGCTGTCCAGTATTATCGGGTTGCCGTCATACGCTGTCAGGATACCGTTATCATCGAACGTCATACTTAGATATCCTAAATACTTTCCGTATTTATATGCAGTTATGACGGGAACCTGGACCGAAGCATCGTGTGATGAAGTGACCATTGTTGGATAAGGACCTTCAACTATGTCCTCATCCTCTTCGGCCGGTGGCGTACCTATCAGATCGATGTAAAGCAGAGTACGGATGTCATTTTAAGTCATTGCAACAGAGATCTGGATATGAACACACAATAATCAACTGATCTATATACACCATTTTATTTGTACACAGATGACGATATCTTCCAATATTTGTAGGAATGCCGATGCACCTAAACCATAAGCATCTACTATTAAATTACACTTAAATTACACAAACTGATCATTATTATGAGTAAAAGTTATGTTTAATATTTCCAGTTCCAAATTACCGGAATTGACCACGGAGGGCGCATCGAGTTTAATACTTGTAGTAAATTCTCCTTGTTACTGCACAGTTGGTACATTTGAATATACGTATAGGTAATAACGTTTGTCTCGTTTTTATGTTTTACACAAAACCGAAAAAAACTCACATTTCCTCATAAATAACACGCCGTTTGCGGCAATTAGAGCAGCGCCCACATTGTCTAGCAAGGAAAGGTGTGTCATTCAGGCACATCTTAGTATGTACCTAGTTTTCCGCTAATTATCGATCGGCAAACATAAAACGCCAAAATAAGTATTCAAAATTCGTAATCCAATGATTGCCTCGCCACCCCACCATAGCACTCACTCCGGGCTTCTCCTGACTCGAAACAAGTGCTGCCTTCTTTGTTGATCGTTTTTTTATCCAAAGAGTAACTCTTTTAAATATTTTAGAACATCTCCATATTTATAAAATCACCCAGCATTGTGTTTACAATCGATTGTGACTAATTACTACTGCGACTTTTCCCAAGAAAAGCGTCTTCGCATTTCTTACCTCATTACTATTAATTAAATATTACCTGTATACAGCAATGTGTGTGAGTGACCCCCGATGACCAGGTCAACACCTTTTACTTGCTCTGCTATCTCCATATCTTTAGTGTACCCAGAATGCCCCAGAGCAATGATCTTATTGATCCCATCATTCACGAGTATATCCACTTCCGCCTGAACAGCCTCGATTTCGTCAGTAAATATAAGATTACCTGCAACACCACAAATCGGCAGTGACAGAAAACATCTTCAATGCAAGCACACATGTGTACACACATAGCGTCGCGTGTCGTATTGCCAATTAGTCTTTTTTTGTCTAATTCAGATTGCTGCCAAAACTCGTTACGATACTCGTTCATCATTAGAATATACTTTATGAGTAGGGCGTATTTATGTGTGTGGCCACTTAAAATTCAAATTCAAGTTCAAAATACTAATATGATGATTCAAAATACCTGTAGTAGACCCAGCAGTTTCATCGAGGGTGTAACCAACCAAACCAATCCTTTCTCCGCCTATCTCCAACACAGTGGATGGGTAATACAGTCCGTCAATCGACGGTTCATATGTTGCGTCGATATTTGCGCTAATCACAGGGAATGTCACATTGTTTAAAAACGGTATTAAACCGTCGATACCGTTATCAAATTCATGGTTACCAAGTGCCTGTAAAAATGGACCATGTGAATGTCAAACATTACAAAAAAAGTATTGTAATGTGTTGATAATGTACCATTTTTTCATTTAGACCTGTTAATGTCTGGCCCATCCGATATCATGGCGCCATGACGCAGTGATAACGATTTTTAACGGGATTTCAACAAACACAGTGTACGTGTAATTGTTGCCTGGCAAAAAACAGCTGTATGGACAGGTACCTCGACGGGCGTATATTTAGGATAAGACGTTTTGTACATTCCGACGATCACTATTCGCCAAATCACGGATATTTTTTTTAATGAACTCCTAAATAAAGGTCAATCATGACTTACGAGATCGCAATGTAAGTTCATACCCATTCACGTGAAATGCTGTAAAACGTGACGAAAAAGCTTACTGATATAGAATAAAGATAGCGTGAGTGTCTATAATAGCTATATAAACTACTTACCATGCAGTCATACTCCAAACTGTTCATGAAATAGGAACTAGGCGCGCCGTTGAAAACATGAAACCACGCGGTACCCGAGAACTGATCGCCGGCATCCACCAGTAGCACATTGGGGTGTGTGGCGCGTACTTCGGTAACCGCCGTCATGAGCCTCGCTATCCCACCATAGCACTCACCCTGGGCTTCTCCTATCTCGGAACAAGTGCTGCCGTCTTTGTTGATCGGTTCAAATCGTTGATGGTAGTCATTGGTGTGCAATACGGTCATCTGGAAATCGGCAGTGTTGTATACCACTGCCTGTGAAAGAATTATCGCGACTATTAACGTGAGTCTTCTCTCAAACTGCATCTTGTTGTTTTGTGTTCTGTAGCACTGACGGTATCCAAATTAGGCAGAATTTGACCCGAGAAAAAGAACCGGTTATTAAACAAGCTGTTTGGTAAGCCAATCGGACACAATCTTGTAATTAGCTTCGTGCTGACTGTGATGTCACTGGATGTGTGCAAAGTTTTATTCAAGATAAGATACTTTAAATTAGATATACGATAGCTGGTGTCTCTGTAACATTGCGGTACATGTCCAATATCACTGGCGTAACAAAGATAGCATTCACGTATGTTTTCGTGCCAGACACCACATAGATAACCCATGTAAGAATCTTTTGCTGTCACAGTATTTGAACAAACTTTGATTTAAGGCCCGATAAAGTTTGTAATTTGGGGTTTATTTTAACCCATAGTCACTTAGTTAGTCGGCATGTTGTCAATCTTTCCCCGCTCAGGAGAGTTAGTTCCATAATGATGTTGCTAGGCAATTAGTAAATAATATTACATACGTTGAATCCGGTACTAGGGATAAATATTCACGCTATAAATTGTTAGTAATGACATCTAATTTCATAGTGTCATCGACAATGATGACTAATATATTAAAATTTGATACCATCATTATCAGCAAATTAAATGAAGATGTTTTCCTCATTTCTAAATGGCGGACAAACAGACAGACAGACAAACAGACAGACAGACAAACAAACAAACAAAATACACGAATGAATGAATTATTGCTATCGCACGTTACTGGCGTGTGTGAGCGAATTTGTTTTTAACAGCGCTTTCGGTGGATAGTCTCGTCGGCTATAAATCGCTCTCTGGCGGTGTCAACCACATACATATATAAACATATAAACTGTTTTTACGTTACAACATGATTAATTTACTGACACATCATTATGACGATTCCTCCATTTTCCAATCCATGGGTAAAATATGCTAATGAGGATTGCATTCCTTAAACACAGATATTATTTGTACGGTTTACACACAGTATAAACACAGTTGAGTGAATCGTCACATTGTTCATTTCAATGCTGTATGGTAAAGCAACGATGGGTTACTTCAGGCAATGTCGGCACTCAAAGGTTGGTATAAGGCGTTCGCTTTAGTTATATAACCTCGTACTATAACAGGTATATGACATTATACGCATGAACAATATGGTACCAACATACATATGAAAACAAGGCGAGTCTTTTAAATGTGGCTAATTTCGCACTACGGCACTTCTCATTGCAACAGTTGTCATTACTCAACTGTACAAGTCTTGTTTTTCACGTTTAACGGCATTATAATTTAATTTGTAAGGTAATCTGTAAAGTAACAATAATTGAGTGGAGTGATCAAAATTCTCTCAGATTTATGTAAATGTAGTAAGTAACGCGCCCAGTAAAAGATTCAACCAGCACTGTGGCTGGCTGTACTATGTATTACCGCATATACCAACAAGAAAACAAATGTTTTGATTTTTACCGAAGTTTAATTTGTCACTATTCAAGCTTATTGCCGATATATGGCTAATCGAAAAACCTAAGAAATTTTTAAAATAAGTGATTGCGTACTGCGCTCGTTGATTTGTAGTTGGATTCAACTGCCATCGAATTTAGAAATATTTTAAAGGCAGGCAAGGCGATATTATCTTTTTCACTGTTTTTGTAAAATATGGGAAAATACTCTCGTAATACTCTTCGTATTATATCTATTATATTACCCAATATTATTTTAATTAATTTACAGGCTCTATCTGGAATATGTCTATCACTCATTGCTGTTACTGTGATAGTGACATTATTGACAGATTATTATTGGAATAGAACAATATTTAAACAGAAACCCTTATTTGCTACAGCAACCGTTGCCAAGAAACAGCAGTGTGAACAAAAGTCTAATATTGTCTTTGTCAAAACACATAAAACTGCCAGCACGTCACTCCATTGCATCTTCTGTCGCTATGGATACACTAATGGTCTTTCCTTCGTCTTCTCTAAATTCAACACGCAAAATGGGCATTTACGTCACACTCCTCTGCGGCAGGATCGACTTTTGCCACCCAATGGTGGCGCTGTCGTTGGATCACCAAGCAAATACAATATTCTCACTGGCCACGTTACATATTCGAAAGCTCGGATCGATCAACTCATGGAAGATGGCGCAAAATACGTTACTATACTGAGAGAGCCAGCCAGACAGATTGAATCACATGCTAATTTTTTTGGGTACGCAGGTCATACTGCGGAAGGGATAGCTAGCTTTTCGAGAGACCCGAGCCATTTTGAAAATGGCGGAAAAGCAGGAAGTCGAAACAATCAAATACGAGAACTCGGTTTATCACTAAGTGACACGGCAAACGAAACTATCGTTAACAAAACTATACATAAACTTAACAACGAATTTGATTTGGTTCTCATCACTGAATACTTCGAGGAATCTCTAATTTTACTAAAAAAACTTTTATGTTGGGAATTCGAAGACATTATTTATTTAGCGAAAAACCGAAGGTTAGAACGAGACGAGATCACGGACGAGATTCGACAGCAAATTTATGATTGGTCAAGGGCAGACTTTTTATTATATCGCTATTTCAACAATACACTCTGGAAGAAAATTAGAGAGTATGGATCTGGATTTAAGGATGAATTGCAGAAGTTTCGAAGCTACCTGAAGGGCACACATGACACATGCACTATGACTCAAAACGTGCAGATTAACACTATGAATAAAATAAAACATTTGGAATATTCAACTAAAAATCAATCGATGTCTTGTCGGCATTTGGCGAAGTCGGCTGTTGAATGGTTCCAGCTCATTGCTATGCGACAGTACCCGAGACTATCCAGGGAGTTCTCTTTGATTAATCGCAGCAAAGATTCATAATAACAATGATTTAAATCTACTTATCGTGTTGCATATAGTTGCTACAATGCCATTATTGGCAAAGACGAAAGTCCGCTTTAGACTGGAGTAACCCCCCCCCCCAGGACTACATCATGTATGTGCTAAATCAGATTAAATTCACCATTCGTGTATTGTCATTTTTAAGGAATGACAGAAATTTAAACTCTGAATGTCACTGACATAAAGACGAGATGACGTACATACTCGAAGATTTTTAGTCCGTATCCACACGGGTTAGTAACCGTCACGGTGGTACCCTATTTCGGTATATTCAAACACTTATGGATACTGCCCGCAACGGTATTATTTAGAACAAAGCGCAATACGTCGTAAAGAGGTTCGCTTGGCGCCCTCCGAGTTGGATCACGGAAGCTCGACAAACTACAGGCATCAAGGCATCATACGTCCATTCTTACACAGCACATTTACAAATATTTCATGTATTAAAGTAGAAGTAATGTCATGGTGTAAAAATACATTGTTTTAGTTTCCTACAATAGAGTTTCCTCCGCAGTGGGCCCCAACTAAACAATCGATAGACAATATACTAAAAAGTATCATACTGGCGTTTTGAGAACACCATAAACATGATATCAGAGGTACATAACTATAGTTCTATGATGTTACTAGTAAGTCTAGATTCGCGTGAACTTTTAACTTTGAATACATGGATATGGCGTTGAGTATCAAAACAATACCATGAGGCGTGTGCATTATGTCACTGCCAGTTCGCGTTACGTCACTGTCACATCACACCTGTCACTTCCGCACTATGCGTCGCGTGCCAATTAGTACAAGCGTTTCATTTTTTACTTCCCTCTTTACTCGATATAATATTAAAGGGCGGCAGTCGTCGCGCCGTGTCATGTTCGATATGGGACTCATAGCGACGTATACAACGCGTGTAAAATACATTTTTTATTTACATAAAATTCGAACACGCGCTGCGCGACGACCACCGCGCTTTAAGGTGATCAGATAGTGAACAATACGAATCCCCGTACTGTTTATCAGAAACCTCAGAAGTTGATGACCTTGGCATACGTACCATGCCCATCTATTTGTCTGTTAAGCTAATGTAATTTTTAGACAAAGGCGATCTATTAAATAAAACCTTCTTTTGAAATAAATATGCTTTATTTCGCCAACACTGCGATGTATTGAATTTCGTTTTTAAATTGTAACCATTGGGGTGAAAACAAGGACAGTTTAGATTGATGTTTACTGCAGCTCAGAGCTTGTCTTTAGTGACCTTAACTATAACATAATTGCTTCAAAATGTCATCATTCTACTAGAATATGAATGGTGCCTTTTTAAAAACGATTCTTCTTTCACATTTTAATAACATCCCTAATACAAGTAACCTTCTAATGTGTTATGTGCGATACATAACTCCGGTTCAACATCAACGTCAACAACAATTACACGTATATACCCAGTCAGTCTAAATACAGATTGCTGGCACTATGATATATCAATATGCGGTGACTTCAGATCAGGTCATTCACCTGTCACCAACGTCACACGTAATGTAGTTCTGTGCGCGTGACATTTTTTAAATGCAACACAGTGACATTATTAGAGCCTCTTTCTGGGATATCAATTTTCCGGGTTTATTTACGTTTTGGAGGGTGGGTGGAGGTTTTTGATGGCGTGATACGTGTATGTTAAAGAATGTGATCACTAGCACTCGAAATAAACCTAAAAAATATGACCTGAGTGGAAATCTCAATGAAACATCTCGAGAGAGACCTAGCTCGAGCCATTCCATTAGAGCGCGTCCGTTCCATTAGAGAGCATTCCATTAGAGAGCGGTCACGTGACGTGTGATCACCTG